AATTCCCCCTTCTCTCCCTCAGTGCCAAGCTAAAATGACCTCTTCTCTGAGACACATTCCCAGCTAAGGATAATTGTTTTTAAAGAAAATCAGACTTCCTAACATGGTAAATCTGCATTTGAAATCTAGATCTTGGGACAGGCCCTCGGTGTAGCAGCTGCATATTTTGGATTACTCATATCCCATATGGAAGTGCCTAGAGGGCCTGGGTTCAGTGCCAGATCTGCCCCGAATTCCTGCTGATAGACACCTGGAGAGGCAGCAGACGATGGCTCAAGTAGTTGGGTACCTGTCACTCCCATGGAGACCCAGATTAAAGGCCCAGCTTGTGGACACGTCAGCCTGACCCAACCTTGGCTAGCATTTTGGAAGTGCACTGGTAGCGTATGATCTCTCTCCTCCTCTGAGACGAAATCTCTGCCCACCTCTCTCCCGGTCCCTCTTTTAATTTCTTCAATAATATGTCTTAAATTTAAAAACAGAAAGGCACCTGAGTCTGTCATTCACCGTCCCCACGCCCTTGTGCCTGTCATTTTATTTGTTCAGGCCTTGTTGTTTTCACCTGTGAAACAGGGCTACCGGATAACTGCACAGGGGCTTGTGCCTATTGACATGAGACGTACACATGAAGAACTTAACCTCTACTCTGAGAAATCTGGCGATTCACAGTAATTGCTAGTCATGCATTCAAACTGTCTAGTGAGTCTCCTATCGGAGTCACACACAAGCACGGGGTGATTTCATTTGGTGGCTACCTTTCCTCTCTCTGCTTTTTTGGAGTCGTGGGAGGCCGTTGCTGCTGTGTTACACAACTCTGATTAGAAGGATGCCCCCTGGGGTTGTACAATATGGCGATTCTGGGCAGAGGGAGGACACTTTTCACTTGGTTTCTTTCTATAGCTTGACTAATTTTTCCTCATAAATAACTGTAAGAATTTAAACTGTCAGTGGAGTCTCTGAGAGGGAGATCTGGTGGGGCTTATTGTTTGTTTGTTTTGTTGGTTTCCATTGTGTACCACTATTTACTTCTTTAAAATCTTTTTAAAAACTAAGCCAATAATAATACGCTTTCAGGAAATTCAGTATTTGGGAGCTCATTATTTAGAATGTTAGGAGATGACCAATCAAAAATCACTTGTTGGCAGCAAAAGGAATGAGCGCAGGCTTTAAATCAAGCAGCTCAGGATTTGCCTCTACTGTTTGCAAATCATACAATCGTGTTAAATTTTCTTTCTTCATATTGGTAAAGAACCTAATAGTCTTAACTACTTGAAAACATCTCGTGGCATTTAAATGAGATACCATGAACATAAAATGCCTAGCAAAGTCCAGGATATGAAGGATTCTCAGTAAACAGTACCTTTGATCACTTTTACCATGTAACACTTTCTGTTCTAGCTGCAGGCTTAAAATTAGTTAGAATGAAGATGTAGTTGAAACTGGCAATTAAATTGGGGTTAGTACTAGGATTAGTAGGTAGACTCCCTCACAGATTAGGGTTAGGGTTGAAATTAGAATTCAATTAAGGTTAGAATTAAAATGCACATAGAGGTTATTTTTAAGGATAAGGTTAATTAAAACTGGATAACAGAAATAAGAAACAGTATGAGGGGGACTGGTTTAGTTGGGTGGAAAATTGAAGGAGAAAAGCAATGTTAAGAAAAAAAAAAAGCTGGTGCCCAATTTACTGATAGAGAAAAATCAACATAGAGACGCGTTAGAGTGTAAAGCAGAATCTGAATGGATACAGGTTTTCCTGAGTTCCACCCCTCATCCCCAAGCCAGGTACTGTCAGATAAATACATAAAGTTCATCTAACTAAGCCTGGGTTCCTTTCTCTTCCTTCAGGGCATGAGCGAGAGAAAGGAATGCCCACAGCCTACACAGCTGTGTCTAGCCCAGCACCAATGCCAGCACCACATTCCACACCCCCAGCTACTCAGCCTGTTGCTGAGTGCACAGGGGCATTGAGGAAGCCAAATCTGCCTTCCCTCCACTCCCCCAGCTCTCACTGCAGCTGCCAGTCTGTCATCCCACAGCCAGCCCACCCTAGACTTTGTACAAGTCTCTGGGAAACTCACACTGGGTGTTAGAGCATCTTAGCAGGGACAGTAACCATAGAGACCACAAGGCAACATGGATACTTTTATTTTGCCTACTTTTATGACTGAGATACTCCTCACAGGTCTGTATTTCTTTGTAAAACACACTTCCTCGGTGAACAGGATGTCTATAGGATGTGAGCTGTACTTGGTGGATTAGAAGCAAGGGATTATTCCAAATGGGGATGGCCATGTATGTGTAGGAGAAACTGTTGTTTCACTGAAATAGACATGAATGAGGAATTCTTCAAAGAGTACACTGCTGTAAAGTATTGAGAATAATCCTCCTCATATTTCCCACTCCCAGATGTACTCTCTGTCCATCCATCTAACACTGGTAACTCCTAACTTACTAACAAGCTGTATGAACACAAGAAAGTCACTTAGCCTCTCAGGATCATTTTCCTCAACGGCTCAACAAAGGGTATTCATTAAGTAATCTTCACCACTCTAATACTCCTTTATTCTGAAAGCCGATGAAGATGACGGTTTCCTATTCTCAGGACCCAAACTGCTGCCAAACCGATGCTGATGATGCAGAAAAGAGAAGAGGAGCCAGTAGGAAAAGAACATTCCAGGGTCTGTTTACCAGCTTTTCAACTCTCTCTCCCCAACAGCTCTGTTCTCCCCCCACCTTGGTTCTCCTCCCGTGCAGCCCCTGCAGCGGGTGGGGCCACACAGGCAGTCATTAGGGAATTAAAAGGGGACAGGCAGGAGGGGCTCACTGCAGAGCAGCAGATGGAAACGATGATTAATTAGAGGACTTTGGGACCTAATCCCACACCTCTGCCACATCCATCCCCACTCTCACTCCCAGTCCCTCCCCATCAAGAACCTGTCTTCTGTTAAGCCCACTGAGATGATCTGTAAGATTTCTTGTAGCTCCAAAGATAATACTCTCTATCCATCAAGACTCTTTAGCTAGGCTAGCCTAATCCTTCCCCCTTTGAAGCTGATTGCTTTTGAAAACACCCCCCATGATGTCCTTCTGTCTGCATAACTAAGCTCAGGCCAAACTTGTCTCACTTCTTTCAAAAAATACCATCTTCCCCTCACCTCTCTATCCCCTCCTACTCTTTAGCTCAGCCTCCTCTCCTCCTCCCCTCTCTCTATTTCTCTCTCTTTCTCCTCTCCCCATCCCATCTCTCCCTCCCTCAGTTTCCCAAGTCTTCATATCCCTCGACTACACGTTCCCTCTATTTCTCCTCTTTTTGAACCCAAGATCTCAGAGAATCTCAGGCAGGCAGAAGGGCTTGGGAAAACTGAAATACGTAAAGTCAGGTAAGTTAGACAGGCAACAATGACTAAAACTGTTTCATAAGAAATTCCTAGAGACTACAAGAAAGCATAACCTCTACAGTAAGACAAACACAACAGGGGTAATATTCTCACCATCTTGAAGGACCTCTGCATCATTAACTGTCATGTACCCAGAATCTTGGGAAGTATCTTCTGCAAGTTTATCCTTGACTTCCTAGGTAACAGAGACATGAGCAACAATGCAGAGAGCTAACAAACCTGAAGAGAGGGAGAAAGTACACCCAAGCATTCAAAGTCAACACAACACAACGAGGCAGAGTCATCAGTACAAAAAGAGAATGGGTCCAGGAGTTGGAAGACAGATACCCTGTTCTAGGAACAAAAGACAAGCCCCACGGGATTGAAAGAGACTATAAAATCCTGTTTATAGCTAACACTATTCACTGTCTAGCCAACATGATGAAGACCTACTCAGCCTGATCTTGAGTAGGTAAGTTAGCTTGCTGAAGACCTTGGTTGCACCTATGTAATCAAAAGGCTGAATCAGATACCATCTAAGACGTCTTTTGGTTCTAGAATCTTTTTTTTTTCCAATCTAAGATCCTAAAACCCATACATTTATTCTCCAAAACTAAATCTCAACAGCAGTGACTCAGAAAGGTCCCTTTCGGGGATGTACCAAGACACTTCTGGAAACACTAGATCACAAAGCACAGCTAACACCAGGACCTGGGACTCCGGAGCCAAGAGCAGGTGCAAACAGCCTGTGGCTCTCACCCATCTTACAGGAGACGAGAATTAGTCACAGAAGCATGGGCTCCTAAGAGGGTCCGTGCACCTGACCGTTCACCCAGCAATATTGTGAACTAAAACTTGAGAAGAAAGAGGAAATATCAGGACTGGGCAAACAGCTGGGGTAAAGGAGAAGCAGGGTGGAGGGTGTTAAGGAAGAAAACTATGAATTCGCTTTAAAGGCTGCGCAGTTGGAAGAATTTGAGGTGAAATCATGTTTTCAGGAGTTGAGTAATTTCTTTGACAAGGGATTGCGCGAGTTACGGGTTCCCTAGGCCCTGGGGACTGTTGGAAGATGCCTTTGGAGTGAGACTGCCCTGGGCCACAATTTGTTGCTGGACAGCCAACCCAGGAGCTTAGGCGAGTGAAGTCAGAGACTTGTGCTTTTAGACTGGTGAGGGTAACCAGGGTCCCACTGGGGAGGTGTCTGGGCACATGACTCATAGGGAGACCCCAGGGTTGATGGGCATCCCCAGTCGCCAAAGAAGGGAAGGCGGGGCTGGAGGATCTCAGGCTAGTGGGCACGCCCTTGCCCAGGCCTGCAGTGGCCGCTCTCGCCAGCTGGCCCACCGCCCTTCCCGATTCCCCTCCTTCCACCCCAAGCCTAAGAGGGGTGCGCGCTGGGTCCCACTGCTGAGCCAGCGCCCTCCCTCTGCTCCACACCCGAGCCCGACTGGCGGAGCTCCCAGGGGAGAAGGTGGAAGGCACCACGAAGGCGTGGAGGGGGTGTGCAAAACGGGGGGAGTGGGGAATGCGGCAGCCCGGCCCCCCCGCGCCCAGCCCAGCCCCCCGTTAGCCACCCCCTCCACCTCCAACCGAATGGTTTGCTCCGAGCGCCCTATTTAATCCCCGCGACTGCAGCAGCGCCGGTTCCCTCCCGGTCCCCGCCTCGGCCCCGGGCTCCGAAGCGGCTCGGGGGGCGCCCTTTCGGTCAGCGTCGTCGTCTACCCCTTCCCCATCCCCATCCTCTGGGGACCCAAGCTCGCCAGCGCCCAGCCTGGGGAGCCGGCCGGGAAGCGCGATGGGGGCCCCTTCCGCCCTGCCCCTGCTCCTGCTTTTCGCCTGCCGCTGGGCGCCCGGCGGGGCCAACCTCTCCCAGGACGGTGAGTGCGGTAGGGGGCGGCGCCAGGGGAGCGGGGAGTGACCCCGGGTCGGAAGCCGGGCGGAGGGGAGCCTGTCGGCTTTGTTTGGCACGGGGGGTGGGGTGCGTGGGGGTGTTGTTCCGAGTCGCCTGGCGAGGCGGGTACCCTTGCGTGTGCCTGCCAGCCTCGCGTCGCCGCCGGACCGGCGTGGGCACCCCGTGTGGGGCTGCGTGTGCACCGGCTTGGGACGTCGGGGATGGAAGCCGGCTAGCAGCGAGCAGCCCGGGGGTCTGCCGGTGTGGACGTCCGTGTGCGCGTTTGGGTGTGCGCGTCTGTGTTGGTGTCTGGCTCTGCGTCTCTGTGGCAGTCTCCGTGTGTGTATGTCTGTGTCGGTGTGTGTTGGGGGCGGAGTGAGATGTGTCGCTGCTTTAGGCAGGGCGTGTGTCGGGTGTTTGTGTCTGTGTGTCTGTAGGGGTTGGGAAGCCGGCGCGAGACCCCAAACTGCTGTGTGCAAACATTTCTGCTCCCCGCCCGTCTCCCACCCGCGGCGGAGCGCCGAGTGGGCAGGGAAGCGGGCCTGGGTGAGGCTGTGGAGGGGGGCGTGGGCAACGAATGGGGGGCGCTTCTCCTTGGAGCAAAACAACACCACCGGGCGGAGGGCCCCCAGTATGCCAGTATCCCTAGCGGCGGCGGGGGCTGGGAAAAGAAACCCAGACAGGAGCGGAGGAGGGTGCTGTGTGGGAGGGGGTTTGGGGGAGACTGGGCAAAAGGAAGGCTCAAGATATTTGGGCAGACGGGGATACATGGGAAACCCAAAGCTGTCCTGGGCTAAATTCTTCCCTGATTTTCCGCGACTTGGGGGTGGGGTGGCATCCCTAGCCCCCTCTGCCCCAGTCTGGCACTCAAACCCTCTGTGACGAAGGGAGGGAGTGGGGGAGAAAGGAGGCGGGGCCGGGGTGAGGGGACTTGGGGAGAGCCCCTCCCGCCCAGGGCCAGGCTATGTAGGTCAGCGCCATGGGGGCACCTCAGCCTCCTTAAAGGCTACTGGCGGTTAATGGGGTGGCGTGGGGGCAGTCGACAGGGAGAGCAGCAAGGGAGCACAGCTCGGAGGTTCGGGTCCTCTGAGGCGGCGGGCAGGCTGCGAAGACACTGAAGGAATGCATCCTCCCCTTCTCCCTCAGCCCGCCCCAGGGCTGCGGTGGGGGAAGGGAGAGGGTCCTCCTGGACTCGTCGGAGCAAAGGGAAGTGGGGAGAATGAGAGAGAGAGGGTGGTGGCTGTGCCCGGCCAGATGCCAACGGAAAACAGAACCGCAGGGGAGGAGAAAAGGGGAGGCGGCTCCTAGGCGATGGACCCAGTGGCCAGCAGGGATGGGCACAGGGCGGGGCGGGGTGGAGAGGGGAGGGGTGGAAGCTGGGCTGGATGATGTAGAGGATTTCATCCGAGGCAAACAGGCCAAGAGCCAGAGTGCTGAAGGGAAAACCGCCCCACCTCGCCTGACCTCTTCCCCTAGCTCGGACTCCATCATGATAAGGGGGCTGACCCAGGTATGGGGAGCCCTGGGAGATCCTCTCTGTGTGGTTGGATAACTCACTCTTCCCACTCCTCACCCATCAGGCCCCCCAGAAGGAGTTTCTGCCAGAAACACTTCAGATGCTGGCCCCTCCTCTTCCCTCCATGGAACCCACCCCCTTCCCCAGAGGCCTGCACTGCTGACCCCAGTCCCTGAGGAGGTGAGGAGAGTCCTGGGGGAGAGCAGGCTACTAGCAAGGTAAAGAGGGGCTGCTGGGTGTTTGTGCCTCAGCAGAAAACCTTCCACTAAGCCTTGACTTTCAGCTTCAGCCCCTGGCTTTCCCATGGTTCAAGCTGAGCTCAGGAGACATTCCTGTGACCCAGACAGCAGCTGGTCAGTAAGAGGAACTAACTGATGGTGTCAGGCTGAGAGCTGAAAGGATGCCATCCCGGAGAGCTGTGAGCTCTTCTGCTTAGGATGTGAACATCAGAGATGGTGCAGATCTGTACAGTAGGCAAGTCTTCCCCACTGCACGATTCTTTCTTGGCCCGCAACAAAGGGGCAAACCCTTCTTCTGGTTCATAGTGGAGAGGAAGTGTGAAGGGAGTTTGAAATCCATCTCAGAGCTGTGGCTTGAGTGCAAAGAACAGAAACAGTAACTTGGGTATGGGGAGTTTCTAGAGAAGATGCCAGGCAGTGCAGGATGAAGTAGATGTCTCTTTTCAAAGAAAAGTGTAATCCAGTGTCACTTTCCTTACAGAAGATCATCTCTACAGACCGTGGTCATCTGTATAGTGTGCAGGAAGTGTGAGATCTCTTTTATATTCATTCTGTTTCTTACTTTCTGAAACTAAGAGCAGTTCAGATTGTGGGAAGTAAGTGCATAGATGTAATGCCTGTGAACTGGCGATCCTAAGGGATCAGCTCTTGGTTGACCAGGGGCCCAGGGAAGGGAATTAGACAATATTATCTTAACTGGTACTATCTGACCAAAAGTAAGAGTGATGTGGTGTGAAGGTCTAAGGACAAAGCATCCTAACATGCTCATGCTTGAATGGTCAAGGCTATTGTGGTAGAGTAGCTCCTTCCATTTAGAATAAGGAAAATACAGTTCCTGTACTGCTGAGGTACACAGCTCCCTGAAGTATAGCATAAAACTTTTAAGCCTCATAAGATGGAACAGGGATTGGAAGGTTATAAAAAGGGAAGCCACTAATATCGGAACTGTCCAATGGTGCCATGACTAGCAGGTCACAAAGGGTTATGACATTCAGAACTTGCTGTCTGCCCTTCCTTCTCACATTTCTCCGTTAGTATTGGCAGAAGTTGACAACTCTAGGTTTAGAGGATACAGGGCCTGTGGTCCTTCTCTCTAGTGGGCCACCTGGCATTCAGCACTGTAAACAGCTTTCCTAACTATTTGCAGCACTCCAGGAGTTGACTCAGTGTAGAGGCATATGCATGGACAGTCTTGCTTTTTCTTTGGACCATGTTACAGCAATGTAACCTTGTGCTGCATTGTCCCACGCATGAGTATCTTTTCCTTTCCAATGACCTTCTGTCCACTGTCATCCATTCTGCAGCCCCTTGGCCTTATGCCCAGGATGAAGATCATGCCCAATGTCCTGGAGAAGTCCAGCAGGCATCCACTCTTGTGCTGCCCACAGATTTCCCTGGCAGATCTACTCCATCCAGAGTCTTCTTTTTGCAGCTATAACTTGTTCGTTTCTGCTACTGTCTCTTCCTAGCTGAATCTGTAATAAATTCTTGGGGAAAATTCACTGCCCTTTTAGACATGCACATTTTTTTTTTCTGGCATGGAAAAGTAGAGACCATCAGAGAGACACTGGCTAGTGAAGTTAATTCCATGAAGAACCATCCTGCTTCATGTGGAACCCAACTATCGGTTGTCAACTGCTTACTCAGAAGTTAGGCCAAACATTGTATCCTGAGCTTTTCCCAGATGTGGGCCGTCACACGCTTGGCATTAACAGGTTGCTCTAGAGGTTTGTCTCATCATTTTTAAAGATTCATAACAGACCAAAGGAGAACTAGGAAGTTCTTACAGTGAAGTGAGACCTGTAACCATTTGCTTCTTCTTACTGGCTTCCCCACACTCTAATAATTCCTAATGTACAACTTGGGGTTAACTTGAAATCCTTTGCCCTTGACTGACACAATGAGCCAGTTCTCTACCCTTAGGTTCTCTGTCCATCTTCCAACTGAGGAAGAAAGGAGGTCCAAGTTTGATTTCAAGAGTGCCTTGTTGGGGATATTCACACTTCACTTGAAGAGAGTGAGTCATAGTTCTGCAGGCACAAAATTTCACAGATGGTATCACTTTGGTGTTCTGGTCACTTTGCACAGCATACTGGGAAGTTATTCCATTGCTCTGCAAATCGTTGGATTTGATCTGTGTGCTTCTTATAGTTACTGATTTCTTGCAGCCTACATGATATGTACAATACTAAGTCACATACTAGGGAAAAAAAATCTTCAAAATTATCACTAGACAAATAAAACAACTAGGACTGTAACTAGTCACATTCTTTGCTGTTCCCTACTTCACTTCTACAATCCCCAGTTTTGTCACCTAATTCTTAATAATGCAATTTCATATGAAGATGGTTATCTAGGCTCCAAATTCTTTTTGAAAGCAAGCTCTGAACTGGACAAGCTCCTTACTGACTACTGAATAAAAATGTCCAGATTGCTAGAATGTCTGAATGATTGTATCTCATTTTATTTTATGGTAGAATCTAATATTTTTTGTTAACCCTTGGTTATAGGCCCATGTATAGGAACACTTTGTTTCCTATATGGGGTCATGTCCTCGAGGTCCACCCATAAACTCTGAAAATAACAATCCCCATGAGACTGTTTACAAGAGACAGGAAGAAAAAGAGAGAGAGAGGAGAGAGGTGATCATAAAGAGCCTAGAGAGGCAATCCATTAAAAAAATTCAAGTCTCTAAAAGCTCAGTAAAATCAGGATAAACATTTCCATACCATTGTAAAATAGAGAATGAGTTTCCAGGGCCAAAGTCCTATCTGTATATTCAGGATCAGCAGTTGTGATAATTCTTTACTAGCTCAGGCAAGCTTACGTTACTTACAACTGCCTGAGTAAAAAATCAAATTTTGCTATATGCAATAAGGAGAGCCACACCTTCTAGTGCTGAGTCTAGAACCATGAAACCACTGAGATCTTTGCACAATAGATGCTCAGTAAAGCTTCATGTTCTTCAAAATACAAAAACTCGAGTGAGAATCATATGCTCCTTTACCAAAATTCCCCTAAGCCTAGAAAGTTACCACATTTGCAAGCTAACACCAAGGCCTCTAGGTCCTGAGGTAAGTGATTTTTCTAAGAGGCGGAGTCCCATACCTCTTTTCCATGTGCCATCAAACCTGTGTTGTTTACAGAAATTATGAGTACATCAGTTCTTTGAAACATCTCATGCCCTACTGTTTTTGAGGGGACACAGGTGTTGTAAAACAAACCTAGTTT